AAAACAGGTCCGCGACGTAGGAAGTAGTGAGGGAAGTAGTAAAGGCGAGCAGTCTAGAGTGTAAAAACTGTTTATGACGATTAGATTAAGGCATCTGCATTCCTTAAAATTCTATAAGAAGGGAGGGGTGTAAATTCTATATTGGTATAGAATACTGTGGTATTTTTTTTTCATCTGTTTCAGTTAAAGATCCTAAGTTCACTGATCAGATGAATTATTTTGATCGATTCACAAAGAACGTCAGGGTAATTGGTTGGATATTCCGTTTCTATAACAATTTAAAAGGAAGCAAGACTTCTGGTGAACTAAATGGATCAGAAATAGAACATGCGGAAACAAAATTACTGTGGTGTATACAAAAGGAATCGTCTCAAGAGTTAACATCAAGAAACAAAATGCAGACTTTTTTGGTGAAAATGATTTGTTAAGAGTGAAATCAAAATTGACTTTAATGCACGATGACGAATATTTTAAGTTTCCAATATTAATGCCCTCAAACCATGAGATGACGAAGAAGCTTATAGCAGAAAAGCACCGTCTACATCTTCATGCTGGGAGCAATACTTTAGTGTCAATTTTACGTCAAACATTTTGGATTTTGAGGTGTCGGAACTCAAAAAGATTATATCAAGATGTATCATATGTAAGCGACACAAAGGAAAACCTCTTCAGTGTCCACCCCCTCCCTTGCCACTTGAAAGAATAAGTGATTCAAACGTTTTTGAGACAACGGGTGTAGACATTGCCGGGCCATTGTTCTTAAAAGAAGGTATAAAAGCATACATAGTTCTGTTCACATGTGCTGTGTATAGCGCGATCCACCTCGAACTTACAACTTCTCTGTCTACGGAAGCTTTCATTTCTGCTCTTCGTCGGTTTGTAGCGAGAAGAGGTCGTGTTGTCACAATTTATTCAGACAACGGGAGGAACTTTGTTGGAACAAGTAATCTTCTCAGACGGATCAACTGGGATGAAATTGAAAAGTTTTCATCCGTCCAGAGGATTAAATGGAAGTTCAACCCTCCTTCAGCGGCATGGTGGGGCGGATGGTGGGAGCGACTTATTGGAGTGGTAAAGGAAATTTTACGACGAAACTTGGGAAATTCATCAGTCACGCAGGAAGAACTCTCAACAATTTTGTGTGATTGTGAAGCAACTGTAAATTCAAGACCTTTGACTTATCATTAGAATGATTATGACTGTTTACGACCATTAACTCCAGCCTTATTCTTACAACCAACATCAACAGCTGAATTACCAGATTTGGATGAAACTGAGTGTCTAAGTTTGAATAAAAGAGTGCGTTATAAAAACAAATTAAGAAGATCACTAAGAGACAGGTTTAAGAAAGAAAGTAGTAAAGGCAAGCAGTCTGGAGTGTGGAAACTGTTTATGACGATTAGATTAAAATATCTGTATTCCTAAAATTCTATGGGAAGGAAGGAAAACAGGTCCGTGACGTAGGAAGTGGTGAAGGAAGTAGTCAAGGCGAGCTGTCTGGAGTGTGAGAACTGTTTATGACGATTAGATTAAGGTATCTGCAATCCTAAAATGCTATTGGAAGGGAAGGAAACAGGTCCGCGACGTAGGAAGTGGTGAAGGAAGTAGTAAAGGCGAGCTGTTTGGGGTGTGGGATCTGTTTTTGACCATTAGATTAAGGCATTTGCAATCCTAGAATGCTATGGGAAGGGAGGGAAACAGGTCTGCGACGTAGGAAGTGGCTTAGGAAGTAGTAAAGTATGAACATCAGCATAGTGTGAGGTTTACTTAAAACCAATCTGGAGATACATGATTGCGGAATGATTGTATTGTAATTGGGCGAAATTAAGAGAGTAACAATTATTAGTATTAACGTATTAACTGTTTTATTGAGGAAACATTTACTGGCCTACCTCAAAAAGTAGAGGTTTCAATAGCTTTGTTAAGGAAGCAAATTTGTATGTCAACAAATTTGCAATTTATATTAGTTTGTTACATCTTTGACTATTCATACAACTTCAGTATTCAATAGTCAATGGTTACATATTCGTCATTTTCAGAATGCGATCGCTTCGACTTATAGGGTTTTATTTCTTTTAGGGGCAGGTCATTTTTCTTTGATGTGTGGTTATAATCTCAGGAAAAACTACTTTTTTTTTAATAATAAGAGTTTGTAAATAATAATAAAAAAAATCTGTTATACAAACGACAAATCTCCCACTTTACAATCGCTACCCCCCTTAAAACTGTATTAAGGATTATAACCACATAAGATAATGTGTTTATCGTTATATACATGCCATAAAAATGTATGGCCAGCTCTGATTATAGTTTAGAAAGATATCTACTGTTGCGTAATGTAACTATTTATGAACAGTACGAAATGATTAATGTTGTCGTCGCTAAAGCGGGGCATTAACAAAAAGGCCTTATCATAAATAGTTTAACTGGTTGTAACATCCTACGATCTGATAGACATAATCTGATTATGCAGTAGATGTTACATTACTAAAACATGATAACACCCACAACCTCCTCAAACTACAAGTGTCATCTTAGAACACTGTATATGGTAATGAGGTCCTTAGTGTGCTCTACAGTTTGTACCTACCTACAGGGCTCATCCCTATCTACCTGCAAACTTAGACTACATAATGTGTAGTACAAATGTACAATGTCTGGTAGCATTCATTATGATATACATTTAAAGTACTGATTTAAAAATTAATGTGTTGTATCGAAGAAATATATGTAGGTTCAAAAAAGGAACCACAATTATGGTTGTTCAAAGATAATAGGGAGTGCAATTTCATACATTTTCTTGTGATTTGATCGACTAGTTATTCATTTCAAATTTTGTAATGTTGAAATATAGGAAGCTGGTGACATTGGTCTAGAATATTATGCTTCATTAACACAAAAATTATTGTTTAATGAGTGACCTACCAACAAGCTTACAAAGTTAAAGGATTTCAACGAGCCCATGACTTAAATTGCAGTCTGTTTCATTGTGTGTTTCTTTTATTTAGCAACTAGCTGGCCCGACAGACGTCGTCCTGTCCTAATATGGTTTTATGTCAAATACTCGTTCATTTTCAAGATGAGCTCGTTCGCATGGCTCAATCACTTCTTTCATAAAGTTGGTTCGCTACGCTCACTCACCTTTTGGTTGCAAATTAGCTGTTGTCATAAATATAAACTAGGTGGCGTTAGCAGAGGCATCCACAAAATTGAGCGGAGTCATCAAGGGTTCATATTATATTGTTTTTGTCATACTGCAGTAAAAACGGTAGTTTTTAATGCATGCGTTGAGGGTCTAAAGTAGCATTTTTAATATTTAGGGAGTAAAAATAGTTGTTAGCCTCTATGGAGTAAAAATCAGCTGTTGTCAACTCAGTTGTAAATTTCGATTGTAAACAATTGCATGTATAGAAAATATGTATCGATTCGTGCTTCGTAATAATTTTAACATACAGTCTACAGTTTCTTCCGGTAGCATTTTAGCATTGCAGATACATTAATCCACTCCCAAACTCAACACTGCTCACCTTTACTACTTCCTTCACCACACCCTACGTCGTGGACCTGTTTCCCTCTCTTCCCATAGCATTTTAGGATTGCAGATACATTAATGTAATTGCCAAAGACAGTTCATGCACTCTGCACTGCTAGCCTTACTACTTCATTCACCATTTACTACGTCATAGACCTGTTTCCTTCCTTTCTCATAGCATTTAAGTATTACAGATACATTTTTCTAACTGCCCAAACGGTTCCCCACTCTGCACTGCCAGCCTTTACTTCCTTCCCTACAGAAGAAAAATTACCTGCCCCTAAAAGAAATAAAACCCTTTAAGTCGAAGCGATCGCATTCTGAAAATCACGAATATGTAACCATTGACTATTGAATACTGAAGTTGTATGAATAGTCAAAGATGTAACAAACTAATATAAATCTTATAAATTTGTTGATATACAGATTCTCTTCCTTAACAAAGCTATTGAAGACTTTTTGAAATAGGCCTGTAAGTGTTCCCTCAATAAAACATTTAATACGTTAATACTAATAACTGTTACTCTCTTAATTTTACCAATTACAATACAATCACTCCGCAATCCATGTATAGGCTATTCCAGATTGGTTTATTTATACATTCGGCATCTGACTATGGAGGTTGTGGCAGAATACGAGATGGTTCATGCAATATTAATATCTGGTGTAAACAGATTGTTGCATCGTGCAAAACTGAGACAATCCCCAGCACAGCTGCTTTTCCAGCTGAAATATGAAGCAGCAGTCAAAATAAAAGCGAATAATTTACTCGCAAATAACTTACTCACAGATAGACTATATGTGTATCAAATATTTTAAGGTTACACACTCAGTATTTGTAATTCTCAAGAGACAGTTTGAATCAATAGTTGTGATATTATTTTTTATCTCATCTACACAAATTTATTACACAAGGTCTGGTTCATTTTAAGGATGTGCGATTGTGAACACTATCCAGACCAAATATCTTCTCAGTAACACATATAACTTGCATGCCTGTCTCAGGAATAGAACTATTGCCATTGACTTTTCCTGTCGCAGCTCTTAGTCTTTCATTGTACGCATTTTCCAAAAGACGTGTGGCTTTTGTGTCTAGAAATTCAGTGTTCAATCTAAATGTATGTCGTGATAAAAGGTATAATGATTCTCAATATTGGTCATCGGCAAATGATTACCTTATTAAACTAGTGAAATAAAATGTTGTAACCGAGTATTGTGAACTTGACATTTCTCAGAAGCAGTTGGAATATTTCAACGCATCTTTTACACTGTTTAATATTTTCAAAGGTCCGACGACGATATAATTTGTCAAATGCCGACGATTGAATGTATTTTGCCTTCTAGCACAGTATATTCAACGGCTCAAATCATCTGATTTGTTTTAATAAATTAATACTACAGCTAATGACTAATTCCAGCTGTGATGTTTGTAATATTTGTAAATAAAGAACAATAATGAATTGCTCAATTAACAGTTGCATTAAAACAAATCGATAACGTGTTTCAAAATTAATTAGAACATTACTATTCTTAAAAATGAAAACATATTGTGATAAAGTTATAGTGTTTATGATCGTAAAAGTTCTTACAAATCACATAGTTGCAAGTACCTGTGAATATCCTTCGTGTAAAGACGGTTCCCCACATTCAATTTGTATATATCCCAAAACCTTGGACAGAAGTGCACCGAAATGTTCGTCAGAAGAAGCGAGAGGAGGATTAAAAGATGAATACGTGCAAGCTATTCTACACGCTCACAACGAATTGCGACAAAAGGTCGCCCAGGGTAAACAGCCAGGGCAACCAGGCGCTGCTAATATGATGAAACTCAAATGGGACTCCGAGTTGGCAGAAATTGCTCAGGCATTCGCTAATTCTTGTGAACGAGATGGTTTGGCCCACGATAAGTGTAGAAACTTAAAGGACGGAACTGAAGTAGGTCAGAATAGCGGGAACGACACTTTTGTTCTAAGAGATGGAGCAAACAGAACTGATCTCTTCTACAGAATGGTGCAGTTGTGGTACGACGAGGTGTCATTGTTTGATTCAAGATTCGTCGACAAATACACGTTCAGCAACGAAACTGGACATTATACCCAAGTCGTTTGGGCAGACACTGATCGAATAGGCTGTGGGTACATAGAACAGGACAAAACTATGTTTTTTACCTATGTTTATGAGTTTTACCAGCCGGTACGTATGAAGTGCAACTATGCAGTTTCTGGGAACTGGGTTGGCATGCCTGTTTATAAAGTTGGTGAACCCTGCAGCAAGTGTCCAACAGGGACTCACTGCAGTGAAAAGTATCCTGGACTTTGTACTGGGGAATTGGATGAAAAAAGTTCATCTTCTATTTTAAGAAGCCACTCGTTACAAAACGCTGGTCTTGAAGTGATAGTTTTGGTATCAATTTACTACTATGTGTGATTTACTACAACTTTTTAAAAACAATTTGTAGTAAATAAAACTTAACTTAACTTATTGTTTGTTACAGATGTATATCAATATCCTACACTACATCATTGAATTCACTTTCTGCTGTTTCTATTATTACGTAGGATAAACTATCATAGCATAGTTGGCTATTCATACCTTTGTCCGTCTTCAGTCGTAAAATAAGTCTAGGGATGATTATTTTTGAGTCAAAGACCCATTATAAGATCCATATTAACATTTAACGTCTAGATATCTTAAAATATACATGAATCGTTGCCACAAGCTACTTATCATAACTTTTACAAACAAAGATAAATAATAAGACATGGAATCATATTGACTCTAACCTTAAATCTAACACACATTTGCAAGATCTTAGAAAGTACTAGAAATACTTGGTTCATTATCTTATTTATGCTTTATTTAAAGCATTTTTCTAGTATTCAGATTTAACCATCCGGTAAATTCTAAGTATTCGAGCTTCAGTAATTTCATTGACTCAACTCTTACGTATCAAGATAAACGTACTATTTACATTGACCAGCTTTAGCCAATTATTGAATAAAATAAAGCATTTGTGAATAAGCAAATCATAGAGTACAATTCCATTTAATCTCTTAGTTCGGTATAACGTTTATTTGATAAAAACATGCTGCGGCTTACAATCAGTTGACTGTACAGTTTTGCTTGTCTTAAATTTTTTTGGTTGTTGCTTGTGCCAGTGAATTCCTGGCAGTATCTGTAGGAGGATCAATTTATCCATTCACATTTTAGACTTTAATCAAATAGTCTATTTCGACAGTTAATTAAGGGTTATAGCTTGGATGAGGTAAGAACTAAATTTGTTTTGTCAATAACAATATTGTTAAAGTGGTGATCAAAGAGATATTTCACAAAACGTTCTCCTGTTTATTAAATAAATTTGAGTCTTAAATAAAATTTGCAGCATGACCAATGCTGTTTTGAAAAAGTAATTCAAGTCTTGTATGTTTTGACATTACATAGTGTTAACAATCATGCCTTAGAGGTTTGTCAATTTTCTTATTTAAGTTGTTTATTTCCGATTTACCTTTACCCTCCTAAGTATTTTTGGTTTATGTTGACAGATCTGGTGCATTATTTTAGATGATGTGCTGTAATAGTGATTTGAAACTTATTTACCTACTTAACTTAGTTAGACCTATTGTGGTATCTATAATGCTAGGTATGTGAGTTATTACGCTGAATATTAAAAAAAAACTTGTTTAATCTATATATATAAAAGGCAAAGCCCTCACTGACTCACTGACTCACTCACTCATCACTAATTCTGCCACTTCCCATTTACCTAGGAGGCTGATATTCGGTGCACCGATTCTTTGGACATTAAATAGGAAAACTAAGTAGTTTTTATTCTGATCGGGCTTTCGGGCTCTGCCCCGGTGGCTCTGGAGTTTCCTATGTTAACCTTATGAGTACTCATATTTAAATGGAATTAAAGAATCTTAACAGCTGTTCAATTAAACAAATTGGTTCTGTTCTATGATGTTCAATAGCATTAAAGTTACAAGGATTACCAACAGGGTGCAGCACTATTATTTTTTTAAATTTATGACACATCTAATTTGCAACCAAAAGGTGAGTGATCGTAGCGAACGAACTTCAACCTGGAGGCGGGTTAGCGTAGCGAACGAGCCAACCTGAAGGCAAGTGAGCGCAGCGAACAAGCTCCAACCTAAAGGTGAGTGAGCGTAGCAAACGAGCTTCAACCAGGACGTGATTGAGCCATGCGAACGAGCTCATCTTGAAAATTAAGAAGTTAAACGGGGCAAAGCCCGCGGGTACAGCTAGTCTATATATATATAAAAGGCAAAGCCCTCACTGACTGACTGACTGACTCACTCATCACTAATTCTCCCACTTCCCACTTACCAAGAAGGCTGAAATTTGGTACACTGATTCTTTAGGCATTAAATAGGAAAACTAAGTGGTTTTTATTCTGATCGGACTCTCGGGCTCCGCCCCAGTGGCTCTGGAGTTTCCCATGTTAACCTAATGAGTACTCATATTTAAATGGAATTAATGAATCTTAACAGCTGTTTCAATTAAACAAGTTGGTTCTGTTCTATGATGTTAAATAGCTTTAAAGTTACAAGGATTACAAACAGAGTGCAGCACTTTAATTTTTTTAATATTTTACCACAGCTAATTTTAAACCAAAAGTGAGTGAGCGAAGCGAACAAACTTCAATCCGGAGGCGAGTTAGCGTAGCGAACGAGCCAACCTGAAGGTAAGTGAGCGCAGCGAAAAAGCTCCTACCGTAAAGGTAAGTGAGCGTAGCGAACGAACTTCAACCAGGACGTGTGAGCGCAGCGAATGAGCTCCAACCTAAAGGTGATTGAGCGTAGCGAACGAACTTCAACCAGGACGTGATTGAGCAATGCGAACGAGCTCACATATGAAGTTAAACGTTGCAAAGCCCGCGGGTACAGCTAGTCTGTATTATAAAAAAGCATTTTTAACTATTAATAATTAGTAGTGGGAGTTCTGATTAATGAAACAGCTGATCTTAGGGTGGTCACAAAGTGAAGATGCAGGAAGTAACTTAATATTTGACATAAATATACTTCATATAAATGGCCCTGTATAAACAGCTGTTTTGACTACGTCCATACACAGTCAATACTCAACTACACAAACATTACGTAAATACATATGATCTTCATCCTTTCCCTTTGAATTTTCGATAAGCTTAATAACTCCTTGCTCTCAGGAAATGATCGTTTAAAACATCCTTTACTGTACGACTTAAATCGTTATCATGTATATATATAAAATTCAATGTATGTTTGTTTGTTTGTTTGTCCTTTATGGACTCCGAAACTGCTCGACAGATTGTAATGAAACTTTCAGGCATTATTAAGCATTATTCAAGGATGGTTTTCGTGATGGGCCCAGTGGCTCTGGAGCACGATTACTAGAAAAATACCGGTATGGATCATAAACATATACAAAATGACGTTGTTGGCCCGAATCCTATACTAATAGCATTGAACATATGTTTTGGCAGTTATATTTATGCAATGTTAAATTATGTTTATTTTCGGGCCAAAAACGTCATTTGTTTATGTTTATGATCAATACCGGTATTTTTCTAGTAATCGTGCTCTGGAGTTTCCCCATGTTAACCGTATGAGTCCTCATATTTAAATGGAATTAAAGAATCTTAACAGCTGAACAGAACTATTGCTATTGACTTTTCCTGTCGCAGGCCTTAGTCTTTTTTGTAAGAATTTTCCAAAAGACGTGTGGCTTTTGCGTCTAGAAATTCAGTGTTCAATCTAAATTTATGTCATGATAAAAGGTATAATGATTCTCAATATTCGTCATCGGCAAATGATTACCTTATTAAACTAGTGAAATAAAATTTAGCCGAGTTGTATTGTGAACTTGACATTTTCTCGAAGTTGGAATACTTCAACGCATCTTTTACACTGTTCAATATTTTCACAGGTCTAACGACAATATAATTTGTCAAATGCCGACGATTGAATGTATTTTGCCTTCTAGCACAGTATATTCAACGGCTCAAATCATCTGATTTGTTTTAATAAATTAATACTACAGCTAATGACTAATTCCAGCTGTGATGTTTGTAATATTTCTAAATAAAGAACGATAATTCCTCAATTAACAGTTGCATTCAAATAGATCGATAACGTGTTTCAAAATTAATTAGAACATTACTATTCTTAAAAATGAAAACATACTGTGATAAAGTTATAGTGTTTATGATCGTAAAAGTTCTTACAAATCACATAGTTGCAAGTACCTGTGAATACCCTTCGTGTAAAGACGGTTCCCCACATTCAATTTGTATATATCCCAAAACCTTGGACAGAAGTGCGCCGAAATGTTCGTCAGAAGAAGCGAGAGGAGGATTAAAAGATGAATACGTGCAAGCTATTCTACACGCTCACAACGAGTTGCGACAAAAGGTCGCCCAGGGTAAACAGCCAGGGCAACCAGGCGCTGCTAATATGATGAAACTCAAATGGGACTCCGAGTTGGCAGAAATTGCTCAGGCATTCGCTAACGCTTGTGAACGAGATGGTTTGGCCCACGATAAGTGTAGAAACTTAAAGGACGGAACTGAAGTAGGTCAGAATAGCGTGAACGACAATCTTCCACTAAGAGATGGAACAAACAGAACTGATCTCTTCTACAGAATGGTGCAGTTGTGGTATGACGAGGTGTCTTTGTTCGATTCAAAATCCGTCGACAAATTCACGTTCAGCCATGAAACTGGACATTATACCCAAGTCGTTTGGGCAGACACTGATCGAATAGGCTGTGGGTACATAGAAGAGGACAAAACTATGGAGTTTTACCAGCCGGTATGTATGAAGTGCAACTATGCAGTTTCTGGGAACTGGCTTGGCCAGCCTGTTTATAAAGTTGGTAAACCCTGCAGCAAGTGTCCAAAAGGGACTCACTGTAGTAAAATGTATCCTGGACTTTGTACTGGAGAATCGGATGAAAAAAGGATTCCAAAAAGGAAAAATTCATCTTCTATTTTAAGAAGCGACTCGTTACAAAACGCTTGTCTTGGAGTAATAGTTTTGGTATCAATTTACTACTATGTCTAATTTACTATACAACTTTTCAAAAAAAATTTGTAGTAAATAAAACTTAAATTTAAGGTTGTTTGTTACAGATTTATATCAATATACTACACTACATCGTTCACTTTACATCGAATTCACTTTCTAAAGTGGTCTGTTATTACGTAGGATATCATAGCATATTATTCGTACCTTTGTCGGTCTTCAGTCGTAAAATAAGTCTAGGGATGACTATTTTTGGGTCAAAGACCCAAGATATCCATATGTTGGAGGATTAATTTATTCATTCATATTTAAGACTTTAATCAAATAGTGTATTTCGACAGTTAATTAAGGAACAGATTATAGCTTGGATGAGGTAGGAACTAAATTTGTTTTGGATTTTTCATACGACAAATTCAGATTTTCATGTAAAGTCGTGGTCACAGCTGTGCTGGGGATTGTCTCAGTTTTGCACGATGCAACAATCTGTTTACACCAG